AGCCTGTATGTGTGAGGAGAAACAACACACACACACACACACCTATTCTGCGTCCCCCCACTGCTCTGTCACACATACATGCAGACGCACTAAGTGAAATCAAGCAGATAACCAGCGCCTCTGCTTCCACTGTGGAGCCAGCGGGAGGGCTGAGCTTCGGTGTGTCAACAGGTACTAACTCTGCCTCTGTGCCTGCATATGTGTGTGTGTGTGTGTGCGTGTGTGTGTGTGTGTGTGTGTGTGTGGACCCTTTAAATGATAGCCATCTGCAGCACAGAGCGCTTATCGGCAAGACCAGGAAGTGGCACTGGGCTACTATCGGTCCCCAACATCTACTCCACTCCCCGACATAGGAGACAGGAAGAGAGAGAAAAGTGTGTGTGAGTGTGTCTGCATGTGTGTGTGTGTAAGTGGATCGCAGTAACCAGGTACTGTACACACACACACACAGATTGCACTGGTTGCCTGAATCAATTGGGAAAAGGCGAATCCTATTTGCGACACTGCGCCTCGCCACTCGCCAACATCTAACAGAGCTCAATTATGGCACATATTCATCTCAACTGGGATGACCCCTCCCCTGCCCTCCGCCGCCACACAGAGACGCCACGCACTGGCAGCCAGGTTGCGCCTGTGGCAGCCGAGGTGGCGAAGGCCTCGCAAAGATGGCATTTTGATGACTTTGCTGCTACACGACGCAGCAGCTGGTACGTCAGGGGCAGCTCAGCGAGAGGGTGGAAGGGGGGAAATTCTCGTTTGTTGCCATAGTTTCTGCAAACCAAACGAGGGTATGGGGTTTCTAAGCTTGGTAGCATCTATGGCTGAAACGATTAGTCGGATTACTCATGATTTTTGAATTAATCGTCAACCAATTTAGTAATCGATTAATCGTTAACTGGAGACTCAAAAACATGACATTTGCTGGAAAAGCAACATACTGAGAGCAGTAATTAAGCCACAAACGGTACAGATATGTTGTGCATTTAAGATCAGAAATGGATCTTCAATAGTTCTTGAAGACCAGATTTTGCCAAACCTGCTTTAAAACATCAGTTTGTCATTAATGATGAGTACGGCTGAAACGATTTATCGTTTTTAATCAAATAATCGTCAACTAATTTAGTAATTGATTCATTATTAATTGGAGTATACAAGGTCAAAAAACAACACACTCAGAGCCGTAATTAAGCCAAAACTGCAGAAAAATATCTACATTTGTATGTAAGATTAAAAACCGCTATAATGTTATCATCACCTGATTCAAATTCTGTTATTAAGCAACTTTTACGACCCAATTATTAATCAGTTAATCCAAAAAATAATCAATAGATCAGTCCTGTAAAGTTTAGATATTAAGTCAATAGAAAGGGTTGAGCTTTTCACGTTTTATTATTTTAGCTGCAGTTGCGTCCTTTTCTACAAATGATCACTAAATAGATGAAATGTTTGAAATGTTTAATTTAATGTTTAAAAAAAGGAATTATTTGTTTTTAACATGTTTAATATTTCACAAAAAAGGCTTAAATTAAAGAATCTGTAGAGTGCCAATTATTTTTATCTGATTAGTCGTCAGAATAATCAGTAACTAAAATAATAATTAGTTGCAGTCCTAGCAGCTGATTGGTCGATGAGAAGTTTAATTTTGCGGACGCTTCTTCGAGTCATTAGCCGTTAATGTTTAAGAGCCGCTGTGGGTCGGAGCCAATTGCTTGAGGAGTGAGAACAGCGTCCAAACACACAAAGAGTGAAATTAAAGATTTGACGTCGCAGAACACAAAAGAAGAATTTCACGCAATAACAACAATAATAAAGCGTTTTCTTCTCCTCCGTCTCCTCTGAGAGCTGTTCAGAGGTGGGCTTGCTTGCTCACTCACTCGCAGCCATCCTGTCATCTGTTAACCTCGCCTTTTGCTTTGGGATTACACAGCAGAATATCAGGGAAACACTAATCCTAAAAAAGGTGCCAGTCTTCCGTTCCCTCCCACTACGCCCCCTTCTCCTCCCACAGCCCTCGCTGGCTTTGGTTGAAGCCTTGCAGGGAGGGGCCTGGGAGCCGGGGAGAGTGTTTATCGGGGAGCAAACGGCTGGGTGGGGGTAGCCGGACACATGCGGCCCCCACAGAGTAACAGATGTCAAACGCTGTCATAGCAGCCGTCTCTTAGATACAATTGGATCATCAGGACATGTTCTAACAAACCCAAGCCAGAAATTTCAAATTGATAGAGTGGTTTGCAGAATACATTTCCAGAAAGTATTGTTGCCTCAATAAAATCAACCAACTCCCATCAAACGCCACCGAATTAGCAAACAGAATCCAATCGTATTACAAATACAGCCAATCGAAGGCCTAAGGGGTTTCTTGGACACCATCAGTCGATGTCCTTTGAGGTGGTTTTTGACTCTGCGGTGGCATCAGCCATCTTCTGTGGTCTGGTACGTTGGCACTGCACCTTATCTGCAGCTGAGAGGAAGCAGTTAGATAAGCTCAACGTTAAACGGAGGGTATAATGTAGCTTCCATTTTATTGCACAACTGAGGAACTTATTATAAAAGCACTGTATGTATCAAAAACAACTTAATAGATATTTTACTTTACATGTAGCCCAGTCTGATGCCTTGAAATTGGCCTCTGTCTCTTTAAGAAGCTCCTACCTCTTCTCACACTCCCCCTTCAGCACATAGAAACACCAATGCCTCTCCTTTATGCTGTTCTTAGCAGCATTGGCATGAGAAGCAGTTCCTATAATGAGCTCAGCAGACGCGCAGTTCCACCAGATGTTTGCTAATTGCTGCTGCTGCCGCTAGTCTGAAGGAGCAGAAGAGCAGAGGAGCAGGGTAGAGGTGCTCCAAGGCGGGGCTTTGGGAAAATAGGTGGGACTTCTCACACATGCATGAATTTCTGAGGAGGGAATGGCATCATAACAGGATATAAAGCTCCAAGAAGTCGATGTTGCATCATAGCACCACCTATGTTGTAAGACGCCCATCAACCCAGTGCAGGTGGACGATGTCTCCCACCCCATGCATGAAGCTGCTGCTGCTGAACAGAAACTCCTACAGCGACAGATTGCTGCATCCTCGATGCACAAAGGTGCATAACAGAAGATCCTTAACCATCACTGCTCCCAAAAAACTGAATAAGTGTTTCGATCCTTGCTGGTATTTGCACAGTTTTCTATTTGTTGTAAATACTTTGTTTTTGTGCACAAACGTGCATGAACGTTTTGCTTAGTTGTACATTTCTTTTAATCTGAATATGCCTGTCACTTGAATGTACCTTATTCTATTCTATTCTATACTATTCTACTCTAACAGCATGATGAAGACTGACGGACACAGGGTGTGTTATTAAATGATAATCTAAACTTTGAACATCTCCCATGGCTTTGTTCAACACATCATCTGAAAACGGAAAGAGGTTAATCTCCAACCTTCCCAAAACTTTCCTGTCTAAGTGAAAAACAGGATAAAGAAGGCAATTAATAAAAGAAGAGGTTAAGAAACCGATGGCAAGAAACTGGAGAGCCACAAATCTGAATCCGTCGACAGGATAACTATTTGTCAAACCTGCAGAGGAAAGACGTCCTGTTTGAAGTTTGTGAAAAGGCGTGAGCCAGAGGAACAGCAAACAAGAGGAAAGTAGAGGAAAATTTAAATTATTGGCTTCCTTACAAGATGCTATGTTTGGTAAAGTTGGCCTCTACATTAGTATAAACACATATTTCCACATTAAAGCTCAGGATCATGTGGTAAGGATGCTTTCTTTCAGTTGGGAAAGGTCAAATTTGACGGGAAATTAGAGCAAAAGAGGAGGCGATGGAGGCTCACCTTCCAATGGACGGTTTGGGCAGAGCTACGTTTGAGTTAAAAAGAGGCCAGTCAAAATCCAGACCTACATCTAATTGACAATGACTGTGTCAAGATTTGTAAATTGCTGTTTACAGACGCTGAAGGTATCTGGCGAAGAAAAACGGATGTAAATTTAAGCTTCTAGACGGACAGAACTGGCAGAGAAATGGAGGAAAAGACCTGCAGCTCAAGAGAGTCCAGAAATAAATCATGTTCCTTCACTAGGATGCTCTTCTATCACATTAAAATCCCAATAAAACTCCTAGAATTGTGTTGCTGTAGCAAAACCTAGGAAACTCCACAGGGTAAGCTTGTGTAAGCTCATTGCTGTTGTGTATATACATCTGAGATAGCTTCGGTTTTACATAACAGAGCATTTAGGGCTGATTTATAGCATTTAAACTGGTAAGTGGGAACGAAAGACATTGGCTTGAAAGGAAAAAAAAACAAAAGCAATCTGATAATTTAATCTGAAACTTGTGTGTGTGTCAGTCTTGCGAATTTGTGTCTGAGACAGACTGAATGTGCTTTGTGTGTTAAATCCTCGGAGCTAGTGTGCGCTCTCCTCTGAGCCGTCTTCACATATGGACCGTAAACAGGGTGATTACCAGACCGGGCTGGGCTCCGCCTGAACGCCACCCAGGGACTCTTTACATCATCATGCCCAGCTAAACACACACACACACACACACACCCACGCACCGAAAGCAGCTTCTTGCGCATACGCACGGCACAAACCCGGGTCTCCAGGTGACCATCCAGTGGACTGGGAGGAGAGCTGGCTGCTCGCTAAAAACCTCAAAGAGCGCAGATACAGTCTGAATATTTCACCAACAAATCCAGGAAAACACACACAAGCCCTGCTGAACAGTAGCTAACACACACACACACACACACACACTCCGAGATATGCAGCCTTTTCTTTCCATTCACTGCCTCCATGATATACCGACTGCATTGCCTTTTAATACAATATCAGTGCAAGCGCGCTCTATTGAACCTCTCGGCACGCAGCGTGACACCTAACATGTGAATGTGTAATTCTCCAGCCCAGCGCAGTGATACGAAATGAACTAAAAAGACAAAATAAAAAAAAGAGAGCAAAAAAAACACAATCCGGATCGTTCTGGGATTGGTCCAGTGTTTATCTAACAATAACCATATGTTCAATAACACCTCTGGTTTTTTGGCTGCACGCACGTCTCTTGGTGTGTGTGTGTGTGTTTTGTAGGCGGCAAAAAAGGGAAAAAAAAATATTCAGACGACAATGGCCATTGATTTGGATTTTCTATGCCAATTCTCTTTCCCAGTGGATCAAACTCAGGGCATTTGATAAGTGAAAGATAAGAGACGGAGGTGATGGAGATAGGGGTGTTTGTTTTGTTGTGTGGTATGGTAGCGGAAGGAGGGGAGGTGGGTGAGGTTGAGATATTTTTCTGCTTTCTTTTGCTCTTTTTTAGGGGGTGGGGGGAATTTTGAATAAGCGGATTGGGCTTCAGCACCTGTGATAAAGGGCATTCTTTAGCCAGAGAGCTCTGATTCATGTCTTTGAGTAACTCCTTGAGGGCGTTTCTTACTGTAGAGTGGCTCCATTGCTCGGGCGGCAGGTCCTCCAGCTTAGGACAACTGTTAGGAAACAAAAACACACACACAGGAGACGGAGGGGAGAGGAGAGGGGAGGAGGAAGGGATGGAGAAGGACAAGGGGTAGAGAGAGAGGATCATGAAAAAAAGCACAAAAAAAACACTGAAAAATATGAATTTATTTACAGATTTACTCCCTGAGGAGCTCAAGTCAGTTTAAAAAAAGCTGAATTTACTTGGTTTGCACTTTAAATCACTTAAATTTTCCAAGATTTTTTATTATTAGGGAAACAAAAACTGTTGTAGAAGTTTAAAATGTCAAATGAATAATAATTCTGACTTGGTTTTACAATAATAAAACAATGTTTTAAAGAGACTGCTCATTCATACACACAGTGTAATATTAATATTAATAACTATTGGTGCTTAGGACAGGAAAATTATGTGTTGAATTTTGATTATTAATACTGATTATTAGGAAAAAACTATTGTAGACTTTGAGCAGAGCACTAAAGTGAGTGATATCATCAGCAAAAGAGTTTGAAAAAAATTATAAAAAATAAACTGTGATTTCATAAAAATGGTAAAAAGTTTTTTTTAAATCATTGTGACCCATTTAGTTTTTGAACAGACTTTGTAAAAGGAAACAGTTTCCATTTAAAAAAAAAAAAACAAAACAAAAACTTTATTTTTTAGTTGTGTTATGGTTTTTATATTTAAATAATTGCAGTAGGATTAATTTGTTGAGAGAGCATTCTTTTCAGCAGCAAAATACGGGACTATTAGGATTTCAACAGAAATGTGAATACAGTGAGAAACGTCTGAGGTATTAAACATATCAAGTGATTGATTCTGGATTATAAACCAGGTCAATTCTGGACGACATGAAAGAAAAGGAACATAATTTACAATATGCTGTCAAACAATTGTTAAAAACCTGCTCAATTATTTCCATTATACAACAGAAACTCCTCGAAATGCAAGACTTGATCAATTATTGTGAACCTGAAAGATGCTGCTTGCTGTTCCAATATCAACTGATCTGTAAAAATGTGAGTTTTCATTAACAAAGTAAAGCGACTAAATGCGAATGATGCAGGGCTGACATGTCATATTGCTGAATTTGGTTGGAAAGAATTTTAGGCGTTTAATTGTTTCTGCCACAAACAAAAGGTGAAAATCTGAGGATAGTTTATTATACATGTCAACATTTTTGTCACAAAAATGGAAAAGAACTCGGCTCATTACCAGAACTGGATAATGTTCCAAAATGTTAAAATCCAATATTATTCAGATGAGTAAATACATCTAAAAGCAACCCTCTTCAGTGTGGACGGTGCTACTGACTGAAGAAGAGTCTGAATTAACTCCTGCAGTACGAGTGAAATGCTTAAAAATGAAATTTGATGTAACAAAGAAATGCAAGTGGCTTCATTGAGTCTTTGGTTTAACACAACGCATTTTTCTTCAGCTTTTAGCCGTAATCTGTCATGAAATGTACTGGATTTGGAAACGTTTGCAGCTTTTTCCCAGAATTAGGAATATTCTCTAGGGAATACAGACAGACAGCTGTTCTGGTAACGCAGCCTCACTAAGGCTAAACACAGTTCAAAATGTTAAACCAATAATTATTTGGTTTTGAAATAGTAATACTCTATGTTAAAGCAGCTGCTCATTCATACACACAGTGTGACATCACCTCTGCTCCTAATATGAATGAATAATGGCGCTCGGGGTAGGAAGACGAGGAAAATATACATTTAATTCTTATAATTGGATAACGAGAAATCGGAATTGGTATCTGCAGTACAAATTCTAGGACTGAAAAATCGTCCACAAAATTCAGATCCAGCAACAAACATTTGATCATTTCCCCAGAAAACAAATATGTGAAATCTGTTTCAGTTAGTCCAACCCTGTTTGAAGTCCATGTGCTGCTGAACTGAGGACACATCAGAAAGGCAGAGCAGAGAGGAAACCAGAGAGAGCCGAACACACGGGCCTCTGCTCGTTTTTCCTGCTGCAAGCGTCCCTCCAAGACAGACAGATTTCATTTGGCGCATCAAGCAGATGCATCTGGAGATTGCTCTGTCTCTTTCTCTCTCTCTCCCTGCCTTCCTCCTCTCTCTTTCATATTCTCCCTCTCTCCCTCTTTCTCTCTCTCCTGATTGTTCTGATTAGTTAATTACTTTATACAACACATCTGCTGGATTGATGCATGAATTATACATCAGCTGCATGTGGCGACTATTATTCTGTGTTATTCGTACCTTCCTGGCTTGTTGTATTCGCCGAGACAATTTAAGGTCCAACTGGGTAGATTTCTGCAGTCAGAACGCAATATTACTGACAATATTCAGCACAACAATACGGTTACAGGAGTAACGGTCTGACGTTGAATTTAGTTGGGAGAGTCATCAGCTGCAGACATTCATCTCTACCTGGAAAAACACTCCTGGGTTTTGAAAATGAGAAACATATTTATATGGAGGGTGTGGGCAGCTGAACTGGGCTCCAGTGGTTTCACCAAGTCTGGATGTGCAAGACATATGTTTGACTGTACAACTAAAATTAGCACCAAATATATATATATATATATCTGATAAATCCACATAAATAGGAGAGGATATTTGGAGAAAACTCAGTCATTTAGTTTGTTGGAAATGTTCTGGAGAATGGAAAAGACAAGGATGCGTGCAACGGTCGAGGCCAACATCTGCTAGTGAGAAAACACACAGCCTTGCACGTGCACGCACTCCATCAAGCCGACAATGGATTTTCCAGAACACCTTAAACTGCTCCAGCAGCTAGAGAGCCTCTGGGGAGATGGAAGTGAACAAGAGGAGGGAAAGAGCGAGCAAAGCGGGAGGAGGGAGCAGGGAAAGACAGCAATCCGCGCATTCAGAGGCTGGCAGGCCGGAAATAAACACAACCTTCTGTATTCTGGCTGGTGGACGTGCTCGCATCAGTCAGTGCATGTGTGAGTGCTCGGCTGGAGAAGGTGGGAGGAGGTGGGGGAGACAGAAGGGGAAGAGGCAGAGCAGGAACAGCTCTCCAGAGAGTTGCAGAACACTAGGTTAGCGTGCAGCTGGCACGAGCCTCCACATCAGCGCCAGCTGACTGTTTGTGCGCGCACGCCTTTGTGTCCACGAGCACATGCAAGCCCGTTTGGGTCCAAAAATACAAACGTGTGTGTGCTTGCTGTGTAATAATACAACAAAAGCTCTCACACCTACAGAGGAGAATTTAGCATCCAATGTGATGAGAAGACAGTTAACGGCGTTCAAGCTAAGGCTTGAGCTGGTTGGTTTTTCTTCCCTGCAGCATCGTTTAGGATTCGGGTTTTATGTTCCGGTTTTAACTGGCCGCTCAAGTTAGCAGTGGAATACAACCTCAGACATGCAAAACTTTATTTTCTTCAACCAATATTTGAAAAAGTTTGTAGAATAACCAAAGGGTGCAAAAATGTTCAGTAATTGACTTCTGGATGTTTGTATCTGTGCTTTACGTTACTGTTTATGAAATGTGCAACATCTTCCTATGACCTTATTTTAGGGAGCATTCACACCAGCTCTGTTAATCCGCTTTAATCAAAGTTTAGTTCATTTGGCAAGAAAGTCCAGTTGGTTTGGGGAAGTGTGAACGCGTAACAGAACTCTGATGCGGACCAAAGAGGTGAACTATAATCCCCCTAATAATAACCGAGGTCTAGGTTCAACTGAAGTGAACTCTGGCGTGGTTATAGAATGCATAATGTGAATGCAAATGGATCGGGAATCACTCCAAAAGCAGGAAGTGAACTATAATGCACAGCATTCTGGGTAAATCCAATCTAAACAAATCCGAAAGCCTAACGCTAGTGGAGAAAATGGCTCATGATCTTTTGCCAAAGATAAACATAAATCCTATACCTGCTAAAATCTGACGCCACTCCATTTTTGTTTATATTTTGTGAAGAAGGAAGTTGCACTCAGTGTCTTCTTCAGAGGTTCTATGTGGTTCCCTTCAGTAGTTCTTGGTGCAGCGCCACCACGGGCAAGGAGAGGAACAGGTTTTTCAAAAGTTTTGGATCGTTTGACAGTAGAAAGTAAACCTTAAAAACTGAAAATGCAAAAAAAATGCTGTCATTTTGGTCCCAAATCGAACCAAGTCTACTGGACTATCTGGTGTGAAAACATCCTCAATTTATTCATTTAATTGGTTCTGGCAAACCACAGAATTTCAGTCATGTCTAAACTTTGACTGGGCCAATAAAACTGTGTCAATGTGCTGTTGATGTCCCAGTTTGGACCGTCTGACCGACAGATGGCTTCACATTTGACTCCAGAATAATTTGGTACACAGAGGAGTTCATGGTCAACTTAAAGAGTGAAAAGAGACCAGATATCCATTTTTAGGCTTCACAGTTTTCCAGATGAGTTTTGTTTAGTTTTCTCCAGAAATTGTGTCGTGCAATTTCAAATTTTTTTTTTCTTTTATTTATTTATTTATTTATTTATTTTTTGCAGTTTTTTTGAGGATTTTAGGATCTGACCTTGGGATGTTTTTCTTTCCAGGAAAGGTTATCCACCCTCCCCAACGTTTTCCTTTTTTTATTTTTATAAAATGACCCAGTAAAACTTGAGGAATTGTTTCTGGGAGGTTGTTGCTGTTGTTTTTCTTTATTGGCACCGTTCAACACACGCTGCATGTAAACTGCCAAAACTCCTGATTACTGATAAACAATGCATTTGATTAGCAGAATCTGGACGTCACTATTATGGAACCAGCATGAATTAACTTATTCTATGAATATTTTCTTATTTTTTAATAAATACTTCCTTATTTTACGTATTTTTTTGGATGCATATTTTTATAGGTGTGTGAATGGATGACTGATAGGGAGTTAAAAGTGTTGTATTGCCCGTCTGGGGTCGACATTTCAACCTTAAAAGTACAGAACAGATGATTTTATGCATAAAACCTTTAAATCAAATTAATGTTTGTGGTCTGGATTCAAAAGAAACATTTAACATCGGGGGATTTTTGTAGCCATTTCTGGTTCAAAAAAGAAACAAAAACAAAAGAACGTTTGGATTAATCTGCTGGAATCTCCTTTTATTTGCGGCGCTTGATTCAATACTTGCAGCTTTATCATTATATTACATTTTATCTTCCTTCAGCCATTTACAAAACAAAATGCTAATCAGTTAGCAGCACTTACCAGTTAAATTTAGATCAGTCAGTGGCGCTAAATCCACTCGATCGCTTTAAAATAAACTGTGAACAGAGTCTTGGATGATGCATTCATTCTCCGTGTTTCTGTCTCTTAACAGATAAAGTGAATAACTATAAAACAAGTGTGTGTTTTTGGCACCCAGTAGGTGTGGAGGTTTTCCTCTGATATCTATTCCTGTTTCCTGGGAGAGGTCAGGCGGCTGTTCCTGTGACTAATAAAGCTATTCTGGGTATGAAAGCAGCAGATTGGCACCTGCCAAGGAGAAAATGCTACGTGCTCATTGTGTTAACGCTGCAATCAGGGATTAAAGCGACTCTACGGTAAACCCTCACATGAGATTAATGTATTCTGCAGGTGTCGGCGAGGATGTGTGAAGATAATAATAATGAGCGGTGCCAGGCTCTTACCTGTGCAGCTGGATCTTAAGCGTGACCACGTGGTAGACGTCCTGCAGCATGTCGGCCACTGTGGCGTCCGGCGCGTCTGTCACGTACGACAGCGGGACGGGGTTCCACTTCCCCACCTGAATCATACCTGAGTGGATCACAGACACGCCGACGTGGGTGAACAACAGATGTGGACAAGACAGCGAGCGCATCTAAGCATCTGAGCTAATTTAAAAAACAGTAACACGTGTGAAAAGTGCGAATAGCACCATGTGTAGGCACCCAAGAAGCATCTTGGTGCCATAATCACTCTCCGCTCCTCTTTATTTATTAGCGAAATCACAACAAGCATGTGCGAATTTCTCTTGACGCCGTCTTCAAACCTGCAGCAGCCCACACAGCAGGACGCGAAGAGGAGAAAGGCTCGCGGGAGAGCTGGATAAGGATGTGTGTGTGTGTGTGTGTGTGTGTGTGTGTGTGAGATGGACAGGTTATAATAAAAGAGTATGCAAAGAGGCACCTTGAAACAGTCAGCCTCGGCCTGCATGTGCTCCAGTGCAATTAGTGGATCCTTTCCTCCACCTGCCTTCACCACCTACACTCGCTGTTTGTGTGTATAAATATACGCACTGGACGCATGTGCAGAGCATGCATGTATGTGAAAACAGGCAGTGCGCCTGACCCACTGGAGACGTTAGCATCTCCTGTCTGGGATCAGTGTCAGGATGACCTGCACTGCAAAAACACAAAATCTTCCCGAGTACTTTTGTCTAGTTTCTAGTGCAAATATATTAATACACTTGAAATAGGACAAAACTAACTTACAAGTAACTTAGGAGCTTGTTTTAAGTCATTAATTCCTAAATATTGATGAAACAGTATCAGTTCCACTGGTGGTTTATTTTACTTATAACTAGTATTTTCATCCATCTTAAAAGAAACTTGATTAAAAGTCACCTGTAAGTTAGTTTTGTCTTATTACAAGTAGGGCTGTTACTAACAATTACATTAGTAATTGATTGTTCTATTGATTATTTGACGATTAATAGATTAATCAGATAAAAATGGCACATTTTGCAAATTTCTTATTTAACCATTTAAGCCTTTTTTTACACGATATTTGGAAAAAAAATGAAAAGCAAATATTTTTTCAGTAAGAAAACAAACATCTTATTACCTAAAATGCAGTAAAATAGCATTAATTTAATTAATTTGATTATTTGTAGAAAAGGATGCATCTGCAGCAAAAAACAATATTTAATAACATGTGAGCAGCTCAGCCCTTTCTGCTTGACTTTACATCAGTACAGATAATCTGTTTATTCTTCAGATTAATTAATGGACAGTAAAAGGTGCTTAATAGATTTTTTTACAGAATTTGAAGCAGGTGAAACTAAAACTGACACTTCAGTTCTGGTAGAACATATTTACTAAGACAAAGACGATTTTTAATCTTAAACGCAAAATATGTGTATTTGTACAGTTTTGTTTTAATTGCTGCCCTCAATGGGTTGTTCATTCAGCAAATGGCCATTTTTAATGATTAATAAACTACTAAATTAGTTGACGATTATTTCATTAATCGATTAATCACGATTAACCGTTTGCACTAGAAGCCAGATTTTGTGAGATTTTGCATTTTTCCCAGTGTACTGTAGCTTCAGAGCTGCTGTGGCGATGTTATCATGGTCACACGGTGTGTGAGCGTACAGTAGGAGCGTGTCAGGGTGACGGAGCGACCTCGGCGGCTACCTTTGGCCTGAGCTGCGGAGCTGTGGGAGTAGCCCAGCGACAGCAGGGCCATCTCGATGAGCTGGTTGAAGAGCATGTCCTTGCGCACCAGGACGAACTCGGCGTGTTCCTCCTTGCTGTCGAAGTCCATGGGGTTCTCGTAGTGCTCCACCACGCAGAACACGGGCAGCATGTTGCCTGACGACACACAAGCACAGGCGGGAAACTGAGTGGGTTCCACGCTACTCCACATGCAAACGCTGACCTTCAGCGTTCCGTCGGCAGGCTGAGATTCAGCGCCGATGATTAAGTTACAGTAAGTGTCGAGGGAGTCGGCGGGAATGACTCGGCTGCCGCAGAACAGAAATGAACGTAAAGATGAAGGCATCGCTCATGTTTGAGGGAACAGCTTCTAATCAGAGGCACACACGTTTACCCTTTAGTTCCTCCTAGTGGTATAGACATTGTTAACCTTTACAAGTACATGAGATGTAAATGCAAATCTGGAACTGTATCAAGTAGCTGCTCACAACTGTGTTGGGAAGTCATCATCATCTGTACATCTGCAGCCTCTCCTGTTTTTTTAAGGTCTCCCCTCTAGGGTGGGGTGTTGTTTTTGTGCGTTTTTGTGGTTTTCACAAACAGTTGCTCTCAAAAGTGTGCACACCCCTATAAAATACCAGGGATTGTGTTTTAAAAAGATCTGACCAAGACAAATCTCTCAGTCTTTCCACACATTAAGGTGTATGCTACAAAATTCAACCAAAAATACTTATTTTAATCAGAAAGAATAAAAAAAACATCCTTAAACTAATACTGCATCTGATTATGCTTTAGTTAAAGCTATATATAACTCATATGTTGCAAAGGTATCAGTCAGGAGAAGGTTACAGAGAAATCCCACAGCTTTATAGGGATACTATGGCGCAGTGAAGGCTGATATCAACAATTATGGAACAAGACAGAAGTCACAAAAGGGAAATGTTTCTTCAAAATAAAGAAAAGAATTGCAAAAACTGCAAACATTTTAGTTCAAAACAACAATGATGGCACCTTAAGAAAATTTAAGATTAGCTTGTTTTTCAATTGAAATTCTCAGAAAAATATAAACTTTTATAAAATGTATTCTCATGCTCCATTCTCTTTTATTGCTTTCTACTTCTATTCCATATCAAACCAAAATAAATCTAAAAATAACTTTACGACGATGCATATTATTTAGAGAAGTCATACTGGTTGTCAAAGGAAGCACAAAATGACTTATGGAGAGCATGAATTCATCCACAGAAAGTTTAGAAATGGATGAAACTCAACAGAAAAGAAGAGCTTTTGTTGAAGCATTTAGGAACAAAAAACAGTTTTGTCAAAAGATCTACTGGAGAATCACCAGTTCTAAACCTTTTATTTTCTTCTGGATTAAATGCAACATTCTTTTCAAGAGAGGAAAAACAGAATCATCTTTTAACCAGAATTAGCTGAATAGCAGTTTAGCTAGCTAAAAAAATCAGAGCTGTTTCTGAGGGAACATGAATCAAAAGTTACCTAAATAAATGGTAGAAGCACAAAATGTGTAAAAATTTAATAAGAAATTTTGAAGATATGTTGCAACTTTTGCTCTTAAAATTGGCACAAACTCTAATATCAGTGTTTCTCTTTTGTGTTTATTAATGGCCAAAGTTTATGTATTTCACCAACGAACTACAGCAAATTTTAAACAGATGAATTTATATACATGAAATCAGAACCAGCAGGTTGGACCTCAAAGTAAACCAGAAACGTGGATTGGCCATTAAAGCCCGATTGGTGCGTCGCTACATAAAACATCCATTAAAAATCGTCCTTTCCTCCCTCTACTGTTGGGCACAATATCCTCCTTATTCATTGTCAAGGTACTGTGATTACATTTGCCTTTCTACTCTTTTGCTTGCCAACCCAAAATCATCTTCCCATGATGCAGTGCTTCAAATCCCGAGCCACCTCCGCGCCCCGAGGTTCACTCTTCTGTGTCAACAGTGGCTCTGCTGTTTTAAGCAATGAGCAATTCTTGTCCAAAGACTGAATTTTCAAATGTGCAAATATCACCTGATATGGCGTTTCTGTTAAAATAACATCCCTGTAAATTGAAGAGCTGGAAAAGGGTAAATTTGGCCTTTTAAAATTGAAGAAGGGGAGGAAAAACAGAACATGTCGAAGCATTCTTGAAGCAGAGCGTGTTTACGAGCCGCTCCGTTGCTCCACTCGGCTGTCGTGCGGAAACATTTCTGTATGTTTATTGTCACTGCAGACAAAAATGATTCACTTTCTAATATTTTCCGATCCCAGGCATTCCAGAAGATGTGCACAGCTCTGGCAAAACAATCAATAAGCCGACAAAATGCAACGGAATGTGCTGAAAGAGCTGCTTTTCTCCTCCCCTGATTTTAATAGATAAAGATCTAACAATAAAGACTGCTGTGTAGGTTCATTTGGGGGATCAATACTGGCTTTGTTTCCAGGGAGCCCAGAGAGGGCTGCGGTAAATATTGTTTCGGGCTCGGACACAATGCCCACTGTGGGCTCTCTGCGAAGCCTCGGAGAATCATCCGCCTCCACTCGCCGCTTCACCCAACCAAAAAGAAAAAAAAGGAAAAGACGAAGAACTGATGAGTGGGAAGAGGCGGAGGAGCGGAGAGGAGGCTCGGAGGAGCAAACGCGGTGGGAGGCCACAAGGAGCGGCGATGATGAAGGTGACAAATTAAACTCTCTCTCAGCCGGAGCGCAAACACGTACATAAAAAGCAGCGAATGAGAGCAAACGGCCCATACGAGGACGCTCGCACGGCCGCTTTCCAAGACTTCCTGCTTCCCCGTTGGCCAGGGAAAAACTGAAGCAGCCAAACAAACAAACAGTTTGGGAGCCAAGAGCAATCACGGCCGAGACACTGCAAGTTTTTTAAATAAAAACAGAAAAAATCAAAAACGATGTAAATTACCACACTGCTCTGCAAAAGTATCCCAGCAATTCTGCCATAAACATATTGCAGTGAGGGTTTTGGAATAAGCGAAGAAATACCGATGGATAATAACGAGAGAGACGGATGATTATGCATGTTTTTTTCTTTTTGTTTCACAAATAAAAATGTGGAAAGTCCAATAACCAATTGAAAATAGCAGACAGAGTCATTTAACCTCAGTATAAATCTGTTAGAAAATGCAACAAAACGCATCATCCCCACTAAGAAACATAGTAGTGGCACCATCATGCTGTGGAGATGCTTTTCTTCAAGATGGAAAGATGGATGGCTCTAAAAACAGAGCAACCATGAAACTTACCCTAAACATACCAGCTCCAACAGAATGACTGGGATTAAATTAATCTATCAGAATATTCCAGTAAAATCCAGACCTAAATCTGAAGATTTGAAATATGACGCTCACAGTCACAACTCATCCATCCACGCCGTCCTTGAGCTGTTCCATAAAGACTGAGCCAAAATTTCAGTCTGCAGGGCTGCAGAGCTGGCAGAGAGATGCCCCACAAGGTTTACAGGCTTAAGATCCACTGTTTCCATTATTATCATCATTATTATTATTAAAAATCATGAATTATTTCACGTCCTTGCTACTTTGTGTTGGTGTATTGCATAAGAATATATTCAAATTTGACAAAATGTGAAAAACATTTGCTCTACTTTTCAAAGCCGGATAGCTTTTCCTATTATTTTCTTTTGAAAACATGACACCAGTTATTAAAATATTAAAAACTATATTTTAGAATCTCAATTTTCAAACTGAAACTTCTCAGTAAATAAATATATTTAAAGTTGTAGAGCTGTGCAGGAATATTTCTCACACGGCTCCTCTATTAGCTTTTGTTTGAGCAAATAGTTGCTGTGCGATAAATGAATGAGTGAGTGTGGAGACTAAACAGAAGAGTGTTTTTTTTTCTACAATAAAGTTTAGGACGAGTGAGTGGGAGAGCATGTCCACTCAAGTGAGTATTTAATGGTTGAGTTAATCAGTGTTTAAATTACTTTCCTTCATTAATATGAATTTTAATTTCAATAATTCGTAAAAAATCTAATTTTGACTGTATCTCTCTCTAAGTCTAGGCATTTATCGTATCGTTTATCGTGATAAATCTCTTATCAAGGTAAGACTTTGATTTATTGCTGTCACAATAAATTTCAATGAATGATGTTTAAAACTCTGTAAAACTTTTATTTTTAGTATTTTTCACCACTGTTTCTTCAACAAAGCTGTAAAAATTTCATTTTGATTGCACTGCTTTCCAGCAGTGGGCATTTATCGTATCGTTTATCATTTATCATGATAACTTTTGTATCCCGATAAGATTTTTATTTATCATTGTCATGATAAATTCCAATTAATGATATTTAAAAATCCCTAAAACAGTCCCTATTGCCAGGATTGTAAATTTGACTATTTTTAACCACTGTTTGTTCAATAAAGGTGTGTCAATAAATATCAACAAATGTGAAAATACGACTAAATGCAGTTAATGTTTTGCTACAAATCACATTTCTTTATGTGATTGTTGTCCAAAAGAAGCATACAGCAGATGGTTTGTTTTTCAAGAGAAGTATCTGTGCTTGTTGGAGCATGTTTACAAAAACAACATAATAAATTGTTCTTATTATCACTTTTATCGCTAATAATACACAAAATAATACCGCAAAGTATTGTGATAAAACTTTGCATTCATATCACCACCATTTCTTTCATTCACATATTTTTTATAATTTGGTTCTTCTAAAGAAATATTTAATGATGTCCTGAGCAGGACAGTCTCGACAACAAATAAATTGTCCCAGAAATTATTACGATAAATAACAACATTGTCATTTTGAGACCATTTTCAACAAATATAATACTAATAATGATATAATAATGCAGGCAGATCGTCTCAAATATAAAAAAAAACTTTCATTTCTAAACATTTTTCACTGTAACTGGAAAACATTTAGATATCCAAAATAAATAAACAAAACAACAATAATTAAAATGGATTATGAAATCTCTGTAACCAAAATTACGTTTAAAAAAATATCAATCATTCAGCTTTGACAGGGAAAACAGGCAAAAGAGGCAGGTAGTGCAAAATAACTACTTTGTATTGGGTGTCAAATGTTTGCAATATTTTTCAAAATGTCAACTTTTCCACAATATTAACGATTATTATTCATCTTATTTCAATTTATCATGGGATTGACTGTTGCATTGCTTATTGTAACAGGCTCAGTCATAATAAGCTGTTTACTGATTTTAAAAAACGTCTGAGGAAAAGTTGAATAAAAAGTTGACCATTTGCATTCTCTCCTACCTCTCTTGTGGCAGGCTTTCAGCAGGTGGCCAGCGGGTTTGTACGGGACCCCGGCGAGCTTGGCCCCGGCGCTGCCCAGCCTGGCCCGGCCCAGGGGGCTGCCGTTCTGCTCCAGCCGGGGCAGCTTGGCCGGCGGGGCCTTGGCTTCGGCCAGGCCGCCTACCACTAGCTCCGAGTTTTCCTTGCCCAGACACGACTCGCTGAGATGGTCCATCATCCTCAGCACCTCAGCTCACTATCACCTGGGGAGGGATAAACAGAAAGGGGAAGAAAAGACATCAGCCGCTAATTTTTTGGATCATTTATGAAGATAATCGAATAAAGCTGCTGGAATGTTCATATTTTTTAATGATGCAACGTTCACGGCTGTCCGGCCGGATACTCTTGAGGAAAAAAAAGGGTAACGAAGGTAGAACTTGCTTTGCAAACACCCGACATTGCTCTTGGTTGCATGCAGTGAAAACACCCAAGGTTCTGCAGAGCGTTGCAGGAAACTAACTCAATTCGATGTGTGAGTCACTTCTTCGTGTGGCTTCATGCTGCAGCTCGGAGGGCAAAGGGAGGCGAGAGGCCGCGGCATCGCTCTGGTGCAACAGACATGTCGGCTGCTCAACAGGTGTGAACTTTATTTATAGGTTTTACAATGAAAGCGTTAATTAAAAAAAAAAAAAAAAAAACAGTAACGTTTACGAGCCCGGGATGGCAGGGGGGGGGGAAACAAAGAAAAAAGGTGGCTCGAGGAAAGTTCAGAACAGGCAACCGCTGACTCATAATCAGTCATCAAAATTTTGAATGTGGGGACTCTGCATCACCCACAGCTGCTTCAGGAGGTCGGCTACAACTCAGCAGAATCGTGGTGAAAATTCAATCTGCCGTTTGTTGAGGTGGAAACGTAATGGTGCATGCAGGTTAACGGGAGCTGATGGACGTGAGCTGGAATGCTCAAAGAGTGAAAAGGGCAAAATCATCCACCCCCATGCAAAAAAGATCATGAACTCCCCCATTCATAGCATGCAATGGGGCAAACTAATTTGAGGAGGAAGGGGAGGAGGGCAGAGAGGAATCCAAACCCGGATGCCGTCCAGATCCAGGTCAGGATTTTTAAATGACCTTAAAACACAAAACAGGAGCAAAAGTTCAAATCACATTCTAAGAGAGTGGACTTATGCAGAAATGGAGTGGAGTGCAATGAAAACGGCATGCAGAGTTGAAAAGAAAAAAACAACCACAAATAAAATAGTGCAATAATTCAATCCTGACTTATGCATCTCAGGTTTTCAAGGAGTTGGTTGAAACTAAACGCTGCCTCTTTTACACCTGACAAGTGAGTAATAATTTTAAAATCCACCGTGTGATTCACTTTTCTGGTCTACAGGCAGCAGCAGCATTTTTGGAGAAGCTGCGACTGCCTCATTGACTTTTATTGACACCTGTACAGACAGGAAAATAAAAGCCATACAGCAGCTGGTTTTTTTCTCTCTTTCTATGGCAATGTTTGGACACAAATCTGTTTTATTCTGCTGGTTTTTAAAAACATAAATAAAGAGATAATTCACCTGTATCAGCCTGAGTCTATCAGTGGCATGCCCTATGCTCGGTCATACTGAGATAACACACCAACCTGAATCTGAGAACTTCAGCACTGGAGAGCATAAAACACCGCCTGGAAAACGCGTCTCCTTCAAGTTTAGCCAGGGTAGAAAAATATTTCTTTTTAAAAAACAACAACAACTCCCGGGTCCTCTCCTCAGTGGGACTCGCTCTCCGTGTGCATGACAGCGGGGAGGTTGTGCTAAAAAAGAATCAGTGTTGAACCAGGCGCTTTCTCCGGCTCTTCTTGGCAGCGCAGCGGACAAACAACAACAACAACCCGGCGTCTGTGTGCCACTGCGAGGGACGACGAGGTCGAGATGGACCGCGATAGGCGAACATTGGTGAGCGGTTATGTCTCTCTGTGAGTGCCGGAGCCCCTGAACGTTAGCTAATTCCGTCCAGCTGGAGGAAACAAGCGGCAGAAAAAACGGAGAGCGGTAAAACCGGCGACATTTAGCTTCATAAAGTGGAGCGGGTTTAGCCGCCTCCAACCGCCGCTGCAACGGTTACAAGTCAAGAGGCGACTTCGGCTCTAGTTCCGCTCCGCGACATCCAACACCGCCGCCGAGCAGTCCGGATAGCAGCCGATAATAAACCCTCGATGTGGACGGAGACGAGAGCAGCCCCGGCGGTAGTGATAGTAGGAGGCGTCCTGTCTGTTGGACGGGGGATTGGCGTCCGGACGGAGCTCCTCTTCTGTTTCTCTTTCTTTCTTTCTTTCTGTCTCTGCCCCTCTCACTCCGTCTCTCCCTCTCTGTCCCCATTAAATTATTAGTTGTATTGACTCATCACTCCCCCCCTCACTGCTCTGCTCTCCTCGCTGCTGCCGCTGCCTGCGCTTTCCCCTCTTTATCCTCCTCATTCCCAACAGCGTGGCGGAGGAGGGGTACATTTATTTCTATATCGTTATTTGGGGGGTGAGAAACATTATAAAGCATGAAGCAGAGCCAGGGTGAGGTATTAGCGAACTATGCGATCCGCTTAGTGACCCTCAGAGGCCAGAGGGGGGCATCCAAGAGCACTTTAATTCTTTCAAAAACATATTTTATTATGTATTTGTTGAAACTGTCACTCTGTTGTGACCGTATGGTATGAGACTGTGAAAAAATTTAGCTCTTCCGCCTTCAGTGCTATCTATAAACAACCAATCAGAGCCAGGAGGAGGGTCTTGGTGCTGTCAATCACTCTCTATGTAGCACTGCAGCTAGCAGAGCCTCAGGCTGATTAGCATGGCCAGCAATGACGGTGGTTTGCTTGTAACTGTAAGTTGTTTCTCCATCATTAGCACATTGAGCAGCGAGTACATGACATTGATTGACAGCACTAAGACCCTCCTCCTGCCTCTGAATGATCGTTTTTGGTCGGAAGTGAAGCATTTCTTCAGCCAGCAATAGTAGCTCAAGGAGAGGATGGTGGAAATCGATCTTTTCACAGATTATCTGTCTCATATTTTTGCTGTCAAAACATGGTGACCGTTTTAACAAATATGGAAAAAACATATTTTTGAAAGTTACACATTGAAGCTTTAAAGGGATAGCTCACATTTTTTAAACTGGGCTTTTCTCAAAAGGTTTTACAAGCCTGAGGCAGGGCCGGCCTAAGCCTTTTTGGGGGCCTGAGCAGATTTTCATTTAGGGCCCCACAAACCAACATGTCAACACCAGATGCTTTATCATTGCTAAGCTATTCAATGTGTATAGCATACCTACTGTCATGAGCCTCATTAATATTTACCCTACATCATACCAGTGTTATTATGGCTGTTGATTTTAACCTTACATGAGTAGCAAACTAAAATAAATATTTGGATTTTGAAATGGAGAGTGGTGTTTAACTGTGTCAAACAGTAACTTCACTTGACAAAAACTAAATTTACAGTAAACAAGATTGTGCTGTTACAACAGCAAGATTGTGAAACTAAAAAAAATAAAAATAAAAAATGAAAGTCCGCTGCCAGAGAAGTAAGCTAGCAATATTTAAAAACAAACAAACAAAAGTAGAATGACAGACGTTATTCTTGAGACACTCCTACTTTGTCTGCAAACATGCTTCTTTAGGTTTGAGTTAATTCAGTTTAAAAAGTGAAACTTCATTATCATATCTCAACTCTTTTTGTTTGACTGTTATAGCATACAGGTCATGAAAACTCAAAATTCAGTTTCAGAAATTATAATTTTGAACAAAACTTTCAGAATCTGTCTTGGAAGCACGACCCATACCATCAGCTAATTAGCGCATGTGCTAACAGAAACTTCTGGGAGTGTATTTTATTTGTTTTGGTGTTTCACTGTGATAATAAAAATGATGTATGATTTAAAGAAAATAACAAAAAATAGAAATAAAAAGAGTTTTGTCGATTTCAGTAGACTTTTTTGACTATTTTCTGAAAAATAAATCAAGTAAACACATTTGCCCATGTACAGTAAAGAAACATTAGGAAAGATAGAGTCATAAATTAGTGTTTCTTATGAAAACATGGGATATAGTCTTGTACAATAAAACATTTAGTTAATCTAATAAAAGATGTGACTATTATAAAAATAAACGTCTTTGTTTTGCTCATGATCAGTCCACCATAAATCCTTTCACTTGAATTATAATCTTCAAACTAAACAACTTTGGTAAGAGAATTATAACATTCTCTCATCCTGTTCTCTTATAGTGTTTTAAATAATATAGATAAATATGGTATACTTTGTTTATTTAAATTTTAAGAATAATCCAGAAATATTTCTTTTAGCACTTTCTGGACAGATTATGCGCTCAATATTTGTTTGCCGCTATTTTTGCATGAATTCATCAATGCAGAGTGGCGTGGAAGCGATTAGCACATAGCAATGCTAAGGCCTTAAAGAATCCCGTCCAGCTTGATTTAATGGCGGCCTTCACCTCTTCTGCATTGTTAAGTCTGCAATCTCTCATTTTTCTCTTTATGGTACTCCATAGTTTCTCTGTGAGGTTTATGAGGTCAGTGAGTTGGCCAGTTAATGCGACGGTCATTAAAGCAGCTACTGGTACTTTTGGCAGTCCTGCTGGAAAATAAAATCAGCATCTCCATAAAGTCAGTGGAGGGAAAGTTTGAAGTGCAGAAAAATGATTCCAGAGACTCCTCTGAACTGAGGATACGATGAAAACACAGTGGAACAACACCAGTGGGTGACACTGCTCCACAAATCCCCACTGAAACTGGAAGATTTCACACTGGATCTCAAGCAACTTGGGTCCAGTGCCTCACCACTCTTTCTCCAGACTCTGGGAACTCAAAATGAAATGCTGAGTTTTACTTTTGGTTCAGTTCAGTCCTTTTTCCTAAATACGTCAGAGTATGACCCATGAAGCATTGAAGCTGCACTCCACAATTTGTGAATCTCAATTAAATTGTTTATTGGGCAGTGCTTCATAACCCTCAACCACAGTTTTTCCTTCCACTAAGCTTTCCACCAATATGCTTGAATGACTTTTTGTGGTCTACCATCATGTCAGATAATGGTTTTTTGTGTAAGCCACAATGTAACAGAGTTCCGTTTTTATTGGTACGATGCGATATTTAATTTCTGAATTTAGAGTTGGCGTTAGCTCTAAGCTATAATCTTTAAAATGAACCAAAATAAAAACCTAAAATCACACTGTATGAGTTTACATATTTCACTTGATGAATTCAGGCTGACATAAATGAACATTTTTCCTGATATTCTAATTTACACACCTTTATGTCTTAAAGTAATTTTCTTACAAGTTTCTGTTAAAAGTTTATGAGCTGATATTATCTTACCTGCAGTAAATATTTCTTTTTGGGGAGGAGGGGTATATATCTGCTCTATATTTAGATTAATCTACCTGACCGAAAGGCAAAGTGTGCATTCTGCAATCTGGAAACAACTAAAATCACAAAAATATCCTTTTTTAATAATCTTTCAACTCTTGTCACATGATGATAATTTACACATGAATTTGAGTTAGGAGGCAGCGTGACTGGAATAATCTTTCTATTTGAAACAAATACTCAGAACGTAAGAGTACTGGATTTGTAGTCTGATATGAAAGTAAAGCAGAGAAAATGTTTTTACTAAAAACTAATTTATTAATTTTTAAACTGCCTTACTTTTCTTTTGGGATGTTTTTCTGATCGGTGATTATTTGTTCCGTTCTCAGTTCATGTTTCACACCAGAAGAATATTGGCGGCGCACCGCCTCCAACCTCCATTTCCTGTCTACATAGTTACTGGTTTCAGACACTTGACACAGTTTAATAGTTCTTGAAATAGTTTTCAAATAAGCTGCTAACATGTTTTTGAGACTAAAAGTTGCTTTTCACACAGTAAACATAACTTTTGGTTTTAGCCACTTTCCAGATTAGCACTTTATTCTTTACCTATACTAAATAATTAGGTGTAGGAGGTTATACACTGCAAATAACATAACAACTGCTTTTACAAGAACCCCACTGAAAAATACTGAACTATATCTAGATTTTCTAATTTAATAAGAATAAGCCTGACTTTTAATTTGCTCATAATTTTGAGCTCTTAATTGTAAACAGTTTTAAAATGTTAAATATATATTTTTAAAGCAGGTAGGAATTTGAGATTTTCCTCACATGATGACCTAAAATTACTAAGGTTTTATATTTGCTCAAGTAGTGAAACTGAAATTTAGTCTATAATCTAATTGATTTTATTCAAAATAAGCAACATTTATCCGTACTGTTGCTAAAATAATAAAACATTGATAAATGCGTCTTTAAGAATGTTATCATTCATTTTTACACAGTACTATGCAAAATAGAACAAACCCCCACTAACGTTAGTAGACAATTTTAAGTTTTTAATGTGGAAACTTAAACAAGCTAATATTCTCTGTTTAATTAGTCAGGCTGTATGCTGAGGTAGCCAGGCCAGTGCCTATCGGGCATGTTGCTACTAAAAGGAGTAATGTGTGTTTATATTTTCTGACTGGACAATTTGTTTTTCCTGTAAGCGTGGGAAAAAATAAACTGTCTTTTTCTAAATTGCTCAGATGCAGCATTTAGCTAGTAGAGGCGAAAATATGACAAAAACATTTTGCAACATTTTTAAACTATAATTTATGTCGAACTGTTTTTTTTTTTTTCTTTTCAGAAAAGGAATCTGACAGTGATATGAACAACTTCAATGCAAATACATTTACGTTGCACCAAAGGCTAGTTTTCATCCAAAAAAAACTGTATTAATTTAACGTGATTTATAGACGATATTACGATCTTCTTTGCTTTGGAAGATTGTCAACTCTGTCAAAAGCAACACAGATATTGACTCCCAGTGGTAAATATTAAATAAAATATTGTCTTATTTGTAATATAGCAAGTTAAAACCAGTTTTTTTCTACAAGGTTTAGCTGTGATTAAACCAGTTTTGCACAAGTTACTATAAATAATATAAATATGTGAGCATAGACTCTCTATGCTGTGACGTTTCACAACATGTGAATCATCGCTGAAGGAATTTTAATTATGTTATTATACTTATAACACAACATCCTGATCACAAGTACATCACACATTCTCCACAATTATTATCTGACCTTTCTGCGATGTTGGTGCTAGAGGGGAAAAAAATCAAGATAACTCTGAAAACATAGACCGCCTTCTTTCAAATGCCACGCTGCTACGGTTAGCTAGCCTGCATTGTAAATGAACAGAAGCTGGACGGACAATTTTAGTCGCTTTAATTTTGTTCCCTCTTTTCACAATAGAGCTTTTAATAATATTTTATGAAGATCTTCACTTATGAACAAATAGTGTTGTTAAACTGCTTATTCTGCTTTAATTTTGTAAAATTTCAGTTGCATTAAGCTGCCTCAGCAATCAGCCATCACAAGGTGAATTCTTACACAAATTATGCAATAAACACTCTCCATAGTTTTGCAGTTATGTTTACATAATGGTAATAATCTAATAGTTTATTAAAAAAATCTCAATTAGTAATTTATTTTTCACTTGTAGTTTAAGAGTTCAAGTTAAAGCTGGAGTTCACTGCTAGCTTACTAATTAACTATAAAACAATTGATATGGAAAGAATGCATGACATAAAAGTTGCGTGACTTCATGTTTTTATGATGTAAAG